TACCCACAACTCAGTTATATTTGTTTTTTGCCTGGCTCTTAAACAGTACAGTATAGCCCCAGGCCCCTAACCCATTAATAAAGCTTCTACTTTATTTTTAATTGGACAAAATTTGTGTTGTGTTATGTGATGATGCACGACACCACCTACACCTCCCTTTTCAAAATCCTGGGTCTGCCCGTGGAGATATGAGAATCATGTTCGACTCTCTCTCTCACCTTTCCTCCCCTTTATTTCAGTGTATTCACAATTCTTTTAAAGGAGTCTTGGCCCATAGCTGCTATCAATCCGTGTGTCTAACATCTCACTGAAATCAACCAGCAGAAATATCTCACCTCTCCAAACAATCCCATGTTTTACTGGCTGAAATTTCACACTTGCACTGCTTTCGGCATCACACCTGGAGCCTCATATGCTGCATACCTCTTCACATAAAATTCAGAGCCTTCTGTCTTGCCTTCAGAGATTTGTACAGTTGTTCCTACCTGCCTCTGTTACCTGCTTCTTCCTTATCTAGCCTCTTCATTTTGCTCTTTGGTTTACCTGGTTGAGTTTTTCGCACTGTTATAAATTTATTGAATGTGATCCCCTTAACTACCTTGCTCTCTATCATGAACACTCCCTTCCCCCTCTCTCTCCTCCCCCCAAAAAGCAGGAATGATTTGGGGATTCACAATGGCTCATGCAGAGATATTTGTCCCAAGATTGATTAAAGTAACCTTATGTTTGGTCTCATTCAAAAAACAATATTTAGCTGTATTCATTTATTTTATATATTTTATTTTGTAATTTTTTCAGTGGATTATGTTATGCTGTCTGTATACATGTTTAAAATTTTGGGATATAGCTTAGTCAAAGGTTATGGCCAGACCTGTAGTTAATAGCTTTTTTTGGCAAAGGAACTGGGGAATGCACATCTAAGGAAAGAGAGAAGGTAAAACTGCTAAAGATCCCTGGCCAGTTGTTTTATGCATTGTCATTGGCAGTCCCTTGATATGAGGATGACAGTCTTCCAGTAGATAAGGAAGTCATCTGTGTCCATAGATAGCTAAAGAGGTCGATCTGAGATCTGCATGTTCCATCGCAGAGGTGGCAAATAGTTCTGGGAGGAAGTCATAGATCCCAGTGATGTCGGATTGCAGCTCTTTCCTTCTGTCTCTTTTGTCTATCTAGCTCCATAGCGAGGCAAGTTTGCTTGAAATGATCAATGCCTTGTCATTTCAGTAGGACAAGAACAATGACCACTCCCAGGCACAGAGCAGGAAGGACTATTGTTTGGATGGAAACCCAAGGTATTTTCTGCCCGTAATGGGGAAAATCAGCCCCACAATAATGAAGGCATCTCAGAGATGTGGGTAATTCATATGGGGAATTTCAGATGTCCCAGGAAGGAAAAATTTATGGAAAATTCCCAGATTTTTCACCAAAGAGAACAGTAGTGGCGTTTGGGGGGGGGAGGGGGAGAGAGTTGGTTTGAAGGTATTTAGGACCTTTCTGTGGGGGGGAGAGGGTTGGTCTGAAGGTATTTAGGACCTTTCTGTGAGCTAGTGGTTGTCTTTGAATTATTCCAAGCCTTGGTGGGAGTCAAGGTCCCTGGCTGGCAGGGTCAGCAGGATGACTGATCTTCAGAGCAGTGTTTCTCAACCCCGTGGGTCATGATCCAAATGTAGGTCATGAGAATATATGGAAGGGTCAGGGATAAACTTTAAAAACCAGATCAACAAACTTTAAAAATGGATTAAAACCATGGAAAACCGTGGCTTTCCCCTTGCAGGCTGTCAGAGTTCCCCACACACGGGGGGGCTGGGGCCTGGAGGTGATGGGGCTGTGGGTTGGGAGTAAGTGGCACTGGGTAAGAACTGGCTATCAATGTTTACGAATGGGTCCTGATACAAAAAAGGTGGTGAGCCACTGCTCTAGAGATACTTGGCAGAACTCTTAGAAGGAGTACATTTTAACTAGACGAGGGGGTGAGAAACTTTTACTTATCTTTTTGTCTTGTCTTCAGACTATGTCACCAGTTTTTCATGTCCCATTTTTCCCATACAATCAATCCTTCTGTTGTTTTGTTACCTTACTGATTACCTGTGGTAAAGCATGATTTCAGGGAAAGTGGTATTCCAGGCTAGCCCTTTCTATGAATGGGGGGACCTCGAATTCTTTCACAGTCCAAGAGGAAACTACCTGGAGCTGGCAGAGAGGCCTCTGCTGCAGCTGTAGGGTTGTGGAGCCAAAGTTTTCAGGGATAAGGAATTATGCCAGTGCAAACCTTGGTTTGTTCCTTGAGCCAAGCAGCCAGATAATGGGGACAAGCTGGCCCAGGGCTGGCCAAGGAAGGGCTATAGCTATTGTATTAGTTTTAAGTGGTGAGTTATAGCTCAAGCTCAGAATGTTATCTTGGGGAAAAGTTTTGCTTCTCTGCTGGTCACTTCAGAAGAATAATTAAAGTGTAAAGGAGTAAAAGTGAGGAAACAGTCACTGAATATTGGATTGACCCACTGGAGTGACAAAATGTAAACAAGTTGAAAGCCTGCATTTTGCTTTTCCAAGTGAACACAAGAGCCTTGGCCAGCCTACAGTGTACCAAGCTGAATGGCTACCCTCTTCAATAAAATGTTTCCATAGATCCATCTTTATTTTGATGGCTTCCATTTATAAGAAATGTACATATCTTCTTAAAATTAAAAATACATATTTTCTCTTTCAGCAATTACTGAATTTCCTACAGATTTGTTTACAAACAAGGAACGACAGCACGGAGCAGTACTGCTTCATATTTTTAGTGTAAGTTTTGCCCTAGTATGGCTCATTTTATTGTCTTCTTTTATAATTTTGTGAGGAATTACTCAGCCTAACTGCCCATTTTTAATGAATATCTGAATATCAACAGATTTGTACTAGTGCATTTGCAGCCAAATGTTCATCAAGTAAAAGCCAATTGAAGCACTTCCAAAATATGCGTGCAAGTCTAAAATGGCAGTTTTTATATTTTCCTAATAATACACAGCTCAGGCTGGGGAATGTTTG